AAATGTCAGCTTAGTGTGAACCAGTCAGAACTGTCTAATACTGTTAATGTGAATGTAAAATGACAAAACCATTTTGGAAAACAATATAGAAATTTCTTGTATTACTGTTAAGAACCAACAGTTCTGTTCTTAAGTTTTTACTTAAGAGGGATGAAAACACATGTTCATAATAGATTTGTACATATAAGGTGACTATCCCTTATCTGAAATTCTTTTTTTTTTTTTTGGTACCAGAGATCGAACTCTGGTCCTTGTGCTTGCATAGCAGGTGGCAAAACCACTGAGCTAAATCCCCAGCCCAATCTGAAATTCTTGGGACCAGAAGTGTTTCAGATTTTGGGTTGAAATCCACTTGATCCGCAAAGAGGATAGCTACACCTGTTTTTTTTCGGGTTCCTGTCCCATAGAGTATTGTTTTCCACCCTTTAACTTTCAGTCTATGAGTTTCTTTTTGAATTAAGTCTGTCTCTTGTATGCAGCATGTTGTCAGACCTTGCTTCTTGACCCATTCTGCCAGTCTCTTCCTTTTAATTGGTGGATTGAGACCATTAACATTGATGGTTATAATTGATACGTATGGACTTATCATTGTCATGACTTTTCCTTTGTGTTGGATTCTCCCCCTTTGTGTTAAATTTCTTGTCGCACCCAATTCATTCTGCTGGGCTTCTTGGGGTTGTGATCCTCATTATCTTTTCCTAGGATATTGTCTAAAATTTTTTGTAGTGCTGATGAAGTTCCTAGGATGCTCTTTGTCATAAAAGTATCTTATTTCTCCATCAATTTTGAAAGATAGTTTTATAGGGTACATCAGTCTGGGTTGGAGGCTGTTTTCTTTTAGGGCTTGAAATACATCACTCCAAGCTCTTCTTGCCTTCAGGGTTGGCATTGAGAAGTCTGCTGTGATTCTGATGGGCTTTCCTTTGTAAGTGATTTGTTTCTTTTCTCTCACTGCTTGTAGAATTTTTTTCTGCTGTTGAGTTTCTGGAATCTTAACAATTATATGCCTATGTGTAGATGTATTTTGATCACAGCTAGTTGGATATGCCTCACTTATCTGTATGTCAAGTTATTTTCCCCTGCTTGGGAAGTTTTCTGCCATCACTTCCGTGAACAGTTTTTTTATGTCATCTGCACGCTCCTGTTTATTCAATGAACTCTGATCAGTCTTATGTTATTGTTTGTATTGTTTAGCAGCTGCTGTATTGATTTCTCATGGTCCCTTACAATTTTAAAGAAATTTTTCTTTTCCTGGTCACTAATTGCAGTTTGTTTTTTTTTTTTAATTAATTTTATTGGTACACTTTAGGTATACAGTTCGTTTACATTTATCATTAGGTGTTTGTACCTGTACATGATATATCTTGGTTCGTATTTTTTTCCCCATTACCTGTGCGCCCTTCACCCCCTCCGTCCTTCCCTATTTACATAGATTGCATTTCCATTTTTTTTTCTTCTCTCATAGTTTTTCCTTTCCCTCTTTTCCTTTCCCCTTCCCCTCCCTTCACTCCTTCATCTTTGGACCTTTTTTCCTATTTCAAATTATCAATTATTCATTTTAATCAT